GGGGTCGCCACAGCGGAATGAGCCGCCAACTATTCCAGCATATGTTTTACACACCAAATGCCCTTCCGATTACAATCCAGTACTAGAAAACACCTATACACACTTATTCACACACACTCTATACACTACACGCAATTTAGTTAATCAATTCCCCTATAGTGCAAGTATTTGGACTGTGGGGGAAACCGGAGCACCCGGTGTAAACCCACGCCAACACAGTGAGAACATGCAAACTCCACACAGAAATGCCAACTGACCCAGCCGAGGCTCGAACCAGCGACCTTCTTGCAATGAGGCATTTGTGCTACCCACTGCCCATGTGGACAACTCTTAATGTGAAACGGCGTAGTTGCATATATTTTTAAGCAGTTTGAATTAGAATATCCTCATAAACCTCTTTAATAGAGTAAAACTATGCCATTATACAAATATGTCCTTGTAAACAACACAAACCAGTGCACACACACACACACACACACACACACGCACAAAACAATACAACAAATGTACTTGCGATTCTACAGCAAATATTGTCATCAGCATTCTGAGAGGTGCAGATCAATATTGAACAGAATATGCTCTTGTGGCCCTCGGTCGGGCTGTTACACCATTATTGCTTCTTCATTGTGGTGATATTGCTTTTCGTTGTGGCGATATGGCTTTTATTAGTTGTGCGCTTACAAACGGTTCCTTTATCCCGCTGTCAGAGCAAATGAGTAATGCGCTGTTCAACTCGCGCTTTCAGCAGGAACTTTTACAAGCCGATAGCGTTCACAAAGAGAAACTTCTGCTGAACATGAATGAAACAGCATTGGTCTTATTTATTCACATTATTGGGTTTATGCATTCAACTTCCTTTGAGAAATATGGGCGAATATACACACAGCGGCCACTTTATTAGGTACACCTTACTAGTACCGGGTTGGACCCCCTTTTGCCTTCAGAACTGCCTTCTGCAGTAGGTCTTCTGCAGTATTTGTGGGGATTGAGATGCAGATCAATGGAGGATTCAGCAGGAAAAATCCACCTTCTGACACTTTTCCTTTTTATTGTTCTTACATCTAGGATAAACCACAAGACTTTTCCCTGCTGAAAAATTCAGCTTAAACCTGCCTAGGCTGGTTTAAGCTGTTTTTTTCAGTAGGGTTGTCAGGTAGTGTATATTCTCTCCTCTACCCCTACACTCTCACAGGAAACAATCTGCTGCTTTACATTTTCAAAACACTTCCTTCTGTCCACTTTATTAGCATGTTTACTTAACAGGACTTCAATTTTGGTCCCCACATTGATATAAGTTTCCGTGAGTCTGTGTGTATTCATGTTTAAGTCCCCACTGGCATTTAAAACAAAGTACACATGATCAAGGCCATCCACAAGCCTTGCCTCAGCCATGTTTACGACTGATGGAAAGGAAACACTCGAGTTCAAGTGCTGCAGTTTAAAGAGGAATCCTTGTTTCATTATTCAGTCTGATTCCTCTGAATTTGCACACAGAGTGGAAATAAATCTGTTTATCGGGCTGATCAATGGCAGTGACGGCTTTTCAATTTCACTCTCTGAAGCTGAAGAGCTTCAATTTCAGCTTTTACACCGCTTCTGTTGCGAAGGGGGAAGGAAATCCTGAGGCTAATAGATCAAGACTTAACTCTCCGTCTGACCTGCAGAAACTAAACTCCGCCATTACTCCTGTTCACACTCCTGGGAAAAAATCCTGATGCCAAGACTCCTCTAAAGGGTATTTAGCAGGATTGCAGCTCATACAACATCTAGGCAGCATTTTAGAAAAGAACATCACAGAACTGGACCGCTAATTTAGCAACATGCTAATCACAAACCCTACCCTAAAAAACCCCAAACATGTTGACTATCCCTGTCAAAGTGTATTATTCTCTAGAAATGGATTCTGCATTGATACATTTTTAAAATGCATTGCTTTTCTCTCAATCTATCCCAAACTTCACTTTAGGGTAGATTTTAACAGCAGATGGCGCTCTAGGCTAGTTTTTAACAGCAGATGGCGCTCTGGCCTAGTTTTTAACAGCAGATGGCACTCTTGCCTAGTTTTTAACAGCAGAGGGTGCTCTAGGATAGTTTTTTACAGCAGATGGCGCTCTGGGCTAGTTTTTAACAGCAGATGGCACTCTTGCCTAGTTTTTAACAGCAGAGGGTGCTCTAGGATAGTTTTTTTACAGCAGATGGCACTCTTGCCTAGTTTTTAACAGCAGATGTTGCTCTAGGCTAGTTTTTTATGACAGCAGATGGCGCTCTAAGCTAGTTTTAACTGCAGATGGCGCTCTAGGCTAATTTTTTTAACAGCAGACAGCTCTCTAGGCTAGTTTTAACTGCAGATGGTGCTCTAGGCAAGTTTTTTTAACAACATGCAGCACTTTAGATTAGTTCTAACAGCAGATGTTGCTCTAGGCTAGTTTTTTATGACAGCAGATGGCGCTCTAAGCTAGTTTTAACTGCAGATGGCGCTCTAGGCTAATTTTTTTAACAGCAGACAGCTCTCTAGGCTAGTTTTAACTGCAGATGGTGCTCTAGGCAAGTTTTTTTAACAACATGCAGCACTTTAGATTAGTTCTAACAGCAGATGGTGCTCTAGGCTAGATTTTAACAGCAGACTAGCTCTAAGCTAGCTCTTTTCAACAACAGGTGGCGCTCCAGGCTAGTTTTTAACAGCAGATTGTGCTCTAGACTAGTTTTTTTTTAACAACAGACAGCGCTCTAGACTAGTTTTTTTTTAACAACATAAGTCGCTCTAGGCTAGTTTTTTACAGCAGATGGAGCTCTAGGCTAGTTCTTAACAGCAGACGGTGCTCTAAGCTAGTTTTTACCAGCAGATGGCGCTTTAGGCTAGTTTTTTACATTTTTTTTTACAGCAGACAGCGCTCTAGGCTCGTTTTTAACAGCAGATGGTGGTCCAGGCTAGTTTTTAACAGCAGACAGCACTCTAGTCTAGTTTTTAACAGCAGACGGCGCTCTAGGCTAGTTTTTAACAGAAGATGGAGCTTTAGGCTAGTTTTTTAATAGCAGGCGATACTCTAGGCTAGTTTTTAACAGAAGATGGAGCTTTAGGCTAGTTTTTTAACAGTAGACGACGCTCTAGGCTAGTTTTTACAGAAGATGGCGCTCTAGGCTAGATTTTAACAGCAGACGACGCTCTAGGCTACTTTTTAACAGCAGATGTCACTCTAGGCTAGATTTTAACAGCAGATGGCGCTCTAGGATAGTTTTTAACAGAAGACGTCGCTCTAGGCTAGTTTTTAACAGCAGATGGCGCTCTAGGCTAGTTTTTAACAGCAGACGGCGCTCCAGGCTAGCTGATTTGTTTGTAAGCGGAGATGACCGTGCTCTATGCTAATTATAACAGCAGATGGCGCAGTAATAAGCAGAATAATGTACATCAAGCTGGTTGTTTTTGCAGAACAAGTCCCTTTACTTTTATGTTTAGTTTTCAGCTGCTGTCTGGGCTTTCACTGCCGAATTACACCTTCCTTTCTTCATGTGTTCAATACTCTTCCCCTGTGTCATTTCATTTTATTACGTCATTTGAAAACTAAGTAATATTGTTTTCTTTGGATATATGGGTTTATTTCATTGTTACCAACATCCAGGGAAAATTTTAAGACAGCAGCAATATTACAAATGTATTTTCGGAGAAAAATTATGACGTGTTCAATACTGATTTCCCCCACTGTATCTCTACTAGCACCGATTGCCCAATGTGATGCCCGTTCTTGCAAAACCTCTATTTTATGAGCTCCAATTTGCGAGGTTCATTACACATGGCTTAATTTGATGAGTAGGGATAGACTGTGTGAGGTGTTCATGATCCGCTAACTCACCGGTGTGCAGTACTCCACCATCGGGTAGTTCAGTTTATGACCCTTCGCTGTGCGACCAGAGAAGAAACAGCTCTGGCAGACGTCATAGTTGAAGTGCTTTAAACTGCGATATCTGCAGAGAGAAAAACAAACAAATCAGGCTTTTATTATAGGAAGAATCAACTTCCATTTCCTCGATATAGAGTTGAAGTCCCCTTGTGTATATCATGTGTATATAGTTGTTCTGGAGAAGTGGTTATATTCACACACTGCTGACACACAACTGTGTGTAAACCGCTTAGAAAAGTCATAATAGGTCTCCTTCAAGAGGCCTTTACTCTACTTGCACTATATTATTTGACAATTATGGGTACTCTTACTCGAGTATGATCTCTCACTACTCAATCCAGCACCAGTTTGGCACAACATGATGCTAAATAAAGACAGAGTTTCCAAATTGGGGTTCATAATTGCTTTAAAATGCTCAATTCTACAGCAGCCTGATACTCTGTGGTTTCATATAATCCAGCCTTTATTGAATTTGCCGGAAAGCGCAGTCCTCTCAAGAACACTCATTTACTCCAGTCACGTCATGCTTGATTTAACAACACCATTAGCACCCGCTTTAAAAGTATTTCTATCAGACAGATTTGCTTCATATGGATGTAAATGGAGTGTGGAGGAGGACAGCGCTGCGTGTGGTGTTTTTTTTTTTCTTGGCTCCTTCTGGTCTTTCCAGGAAATGCTCATTCAGTACAGTTTAATTCCTCCAGTTTCTGAAATGATGCGACTGCTGTATTTTCCTCTTTTACCATGTGAAGCCACTAAACACACACCGAGGCCCTGCTGGCAATCACTAAACATCACTTTCCTCAACATCTTTTACTTTAGTTTCTGTGAGAGACGAGTGAAAAAACAAGTTTCAGGCAGTAAAAGAACATGAAGAACACTTAGAAAATAAGATGGGAATAATAATGAGAACATGTGTATGCAGAAATCCAGGCTGTGTTTTGATTGTTTCACTCTAAATAATTTGACTTTAGACAGCCATTTATATAATTATATTCATTAATTTTCTTTTCAGCTAATCCCTTTATTAATCATTGGCCGCCACAGCGGAATGATCCGCCAACTTATCTAGCACATGTTTTACACAGCGGATGCCCTTTCAGCTGCAACCTAACACTGGGAAACACCCACACACTCTTGCATTTACACTCATACACTACGGCCAATTAAGTTAATCAATTCTCCTATAGAGCATGTGTTTGGATTGTGGGGGAAACCAGAGCACCCGGAGGAACACCACACCGACATGGGGAGAACATGCAAACTCCACACAGAAATGCCAAATGACACAGCCTTTTTTTTGGCTGAATTGAATCCAAAATGGTAAAACGATTTTACATTGTTCTTGTTTAACTTTTGGAGAAATGAGGCTATTTAAATAATAATAATAATAATAATAATAATAATAATAATAATAATAATAATAATAATAATAATAATAATAATAATAAGATAATATTATTATTACTAATAATATTAATAATAATAATAATAATAATAATAATAATAACAATAATAATAATAACAGCCTTTTTTTGGCTGAATTGAATCAAAAATGGTAAAACGCTTTTACTTTGTTCTTGTTTAACTTTTGGAGAAATGAGGCTATTTAAATAATAATACTAATAATAATAATAATAATAATAATAATAATAATAATTAATACTACTACTACTACTACTAATAATAATAATAATATAATAATAATAATAATAATAATAATAATTATAAAATAATATTTATAATAATAATAATAATTAATATTATTATTATTAATAATAATAATTAATAATAATAATTAATAATAATAATAATAATAATAATTAATAATAATAATAATAATAATAATAATAATAATAATAATAATAATAATAATAATATAAAAGTGGAGTGTTGCTTTAAGAAAGAAAGAAAGAAACATCTGGGATGACGAGAGAGGTTAGTAAATTACCAGTACATTTTTTCTTCTGGAAGAAAAGACAATTCTTTAATCTCCTAAACAAATGATGAACATCTGCATGGCTTTGTGACCAAATTCATCAGCGTGAACAGAATTTCGCCCCTGGTTTTTCTTCTCTACTACTACTGAAAGTTTTTTTTCCTTCACAGGTCTCAATGAATCCAGCTTGACTGACTCTGACTTTATTTCTCTCAGTCTCGCTCTCTCTCTCTCTCTGCTTGCATTTAGTCTTCTCTACTATCCATCACTGACACACCGCAGTCCACATCTCCTCTGTCAAACGTCTGCAGCTCTGCCTCAAAGAAACAGAGCAAATACCACAACACTGTGGACGATCTCTACAATCCCTGTCTAAACATACCATAAAATTAACAGTAATAGACACTGGGGCTGCACAATATATTGCAAAATAATTATCATCACGTCAACAGTACATGCAAAATACGTATTGCAGACATGTGTGATATTGTAATATCACACATCATGTAATGCCTCATCCTGACCAAATGGATTACAATATTTAGCCCCGCCTCCCAAGTAACCGCTGTCTGCTATTGGCTAGAGCGGCCTAAAGCAGACCCCAGTGCTAAAAATACACACTATAGGGCGGAGTCAAGATGAGAGTGGAAAATGACAACAGCCAATCAGAGGCAGAACATCTGCTGAGGTTTTCACTTATTCATAGTGTTTTAAAGACTAAGGGATCTATCATACTACAAGCTGGTCTAAAGTCAATGGTATTAGGTATTTATTTGTTATTTAAGAGCACATTAGTGTCATGCACCTATTCAGGTACAAAATCTGCATACTCGATGCTTATTATACACACAGGGATGCACAGCAGCACACAAATATATTTAAATATAAAAATTAAAGGATTAAAATGTAAAAATATGTCATATTCTCTACATAAATATAAAAACCGTTCCTCCTCCCATGTTTTCTTCACCTCAGGGGTCTTTGGTAAAATCCAGATGTGATTAGGTAATTTATTCAAGACAATTTACAACTGTTTAGTGTTATTAATATTATTGTATACACACCCGCACTCTGCAAGTGTTTGAGGGGAAAGGTGCGTTCACGTTTTACCGGATCCGGCACTTGATATTTGGTATTGTTTCATTTCGATGTCGATACAAACATGCAGAAGATCTGACAAACGACAAATCATTTAAACGATTCTTTTATTTAGAAAATCTATATATTAAAACAAGGTGCATTTTCAGATTTAACCCTTTTTAAAAACCCATAATAAAGGCGCTTTAAGAAATAGTTTGGAAACAAATCTTTGTTATACTCAAAACACACTCAAAACTCTTTTAAGAGAACAAGAACAACCATTTAAGAGCAGGCGCCTGGTCCACAGACTGTTTTTCCCACCCTTAAAATAGCAAAAGTGTATTCATACATACCCTAAAGCCTGATTTATACTTCTGCGTCAAGTGACTGGCGTAACCCACGGTGCATGCAACGCGCATGGCTGTGCATTTATACTTCTGCTGCTGTCTCTGTCGGTCTGCATTAACACTTCCGAAACGCTAGTTGGCAGTGAGGTGTAAATCTTCCTCTGTGTCGAGTTTCTTCGCTGCTTTTTTTCGTTTCCTGAACACTTCCTGAATGTACAAGTGGCTCAAACTCGCTTATTTTGAGGCAGGAACTGGCGGACTTGCAACAACTTTAACCATGAGGTAAACACAGAACAAAACTTTCCATCCAGAGCTCCTTAACGGCACTCCACACTTGTAAACAATCGCTCGCGCCATTCGCGTGGCTCTCGGTCCCGCCCAGACTCGTCAGCGCTACCAAGCCGACCAATCACAGAGCTTGCGCTACGCATTGTTGCGACGTGTAGTTACATTTTTTGAGAGGTGCACGTCAGCGACGGCCACGGCGAAGGGCTATGCGTCAGCGCCGTAGCATACGCCGACGTTTGACGCAGAAGTATAAATCAGCCTTTAGTGCTTCTGCACCATCCACTTTAGACTTTGTGCTTAAATCGTTAAAAAAAGTCCTAAATGTTTACGCCTTATCAGTTTTTTAGTCTAAATTAGAATTAATTCCATCTGAAAATAGCATTTTTCTAGAGAAATGTTATGTTGTAAGTCGTTATCGTAACATCCGATCGCACATTCTTTCCAGTATCGTGCAGCCCTAATAGATGGGCATTATGTATATTTGCCTGGCATTTGAAAAGGTCAGCACCTATTGTTTCCGAAGCACACAGTGCCTGTTTAAAATCCAGCATGGAGGCGGATGATGAGGGATTAATACCTGATGCATCACTCAGAGCCTCTCAAACACAGCTTCATTAACCCGCAGCGTGTTTTTATGCTGCTGTACATGTGCACGCCGCTGATACTAATGCCCTCAATATATTATCCACAAAGAAGAGGACTTATTATATTAGTAATGCATAATAATGTAATAAAAATGCTTTAGTGCTACGCTTATTGATTATACTGAAGTCTACTGTGAGTGTGTTTTACATATTGTTAACATTTCCTACATGCTGAGCTTGTTAAATTCAGCCATAAAAAGATTGCATGATGTTAAAAGTTAATGCTATTTATGTGTTAATAATTAATGCATTGTTTGAATATTCCAGTTGCTTACTTATTTAATACACTTTTTGTTTTTTACATTTAAGATGCATTGGTTATTTTGTTTAATAATAAATTATTGTTCATAATTTAACATTGTTTTTTTATCATAAATTAAAGATTGGGCTTTATTTTGGTGTCTGTGTCAAATTATACTCATACAATTTACTTTGAAAAAATACAAAATGCAGGTAAAAGTGCCAGATACTGTTTATAAAACATACAATATCATTATTATAAAAGTTCCATCATCATTCTGCATAAAATATTTATTTTTTATCATAAATATATATATTTATTTATTTTTTTTTAATATATATATATTATATTATTTATATACATATGTACAAAACAAATACTTTTCCCCTAACATTTACATATTAAAATATTTAAGAAGTGAAAAATACATACACTCTCCGGCCACTTTATTAGGTACACCTTACTAGTACCGTGCTGGACCCCCTTTTTGCCTTTAGAACCGCCTAAATCCTTCATGGCATAGATTTAACAAGCTGCTGGAAATATTCCTCAAAGATTTTGCTCCATATTGACATGATAGTATCTGACAGTTGCTGCAGATTTGTCGACTGCACATCCATGATGCCAATCTCTCGTTCCACCACATGCCAAAGCTGCTCTATTGGATTGAGATCTGGTGACTGTGGAGGCCCTTTAAGTTCCAACTGCTCATTAACACAAATCAGCCAATCACATGGCAGCAACTCAATGCATTTAGGCATGTAGACATGGTCAAGAGGATCTGCTGCAGTTCAGACTGAGCATCAGAATGGGGAAGAAAGGGGATTTAAGTGACTTTAATTGTGGCATGGTTGTTGCTGCCAGACGGGCTGCTCTGAGTATTTCAGAAACGGCTGATCTACTGGGATTTTCACGCACAACCATCTCTAGGGTTTACAGAGAATGCTCCGACAAAGAGGAAATATCCAGTGAGCGGCAGTTCTGTGGCCTTGTTGAGGTCAGAGGAGAATGGCCAGACTGGTTCCAGCTGATAGAAAGGCAACAGTAACTAAAAATAAATAAGCACTCGTTACAACCGAGCTCTGCAGAAGAGCATCTCTGAACACACAACACGGCCAACCTTGAGGCGGATGGGCTACAGCAGCAGAAGAGCACACCGGGTGCCGCTCCTGTCAGCTAAGAACAGGAAACTGAGGCTACAATTCACACAGACTCACCAAAACTGGACAATAGAAGATTGGAGAAACGTTGCTGCTCTGATGAGTCTCCATTTCTGCTGACACATTCAGATGCTCGGCTCACAATTTGGCCTCAACAACATGAAAGCATGGATCATCCTGCCTTGTATCAGCGGTTCAGGCTGGTGGTGGTGGTGTAATGGTGTGGGGGAGATTTTCTTTGGGTCCATTAGTACCAATTGAGCATCAACGCCACAGCCTACCTGAGTATTGCTGCTGACCATGTCCATCCCTTTATGAGCACAGTGTCTCCATCTTTGATGCTCGCTTTGAACTGCAGCAGATCCTCTTGATCATGTCCACATGCCTAAATGCATTGAGTTGCTGCCATGTGATTGGCTGATTTGCATCAACGAGCAGTTGGACAAGTGTACCTAATAAAGTGGCCGGTGAGTGTTTATGTAATTAATTATTTATTTATTTAAGCTGTCAATTAACTGACAAATCCCTAACACCTAGTGTTTTAAAAGAAAGTGCCAATTGTGGTCAGGCAATCACAGTAAAAATCTAGCAAGGTCATAATATTTTGCTCAGAAATATTATTTTTTAAGGAGACATTCTAATGTAGAGAGAAAATGAGCTGTATTACACTGCAATGGTTTGATGCTTAAAAGCCTCTTTTCGTCCTTGACCCATATATATAATTGATACCTGAATTAATTATTAAACCAGCCATTAAGACTGCATTAATATTTGCTTTGCCTTTCTAAAGAGCACTTCTGACTTTTTAAGTCTTGTTGAAAACCCAATGCTTTCCTGCTCAGTCTAATAACAAATGTAAATGCACACTGTTAACTACTGGCTTATAATTACATACTTATAAGGTATTAACTGATTATTAGCACTTACAAAGTATGATCTTATTTTACATCCCTAATCCTGTCTAATACAACAACCCAACTACTAACTAATAATAAGCAGTTAATTATTAGCTTATGAAGCTAATGCTCTTAGTTGATAGTTTGTTAATAGTTTGAACTGGAATTTAAAACAAAGAGTAACTCTTTACAATAAGGTTCTGTTAATTAATGCATTAACCAACATGAATAAACATTGAACATTTTTATTAGTTCTCATTAGCAAATGAAATAGTTGATCATTGTTAGTTCATGTTTACTCACAATGCAACAACCAATGTTAACAAGCATGTATTTGGATGTTAATAATGCATTAGTAAATGTTGAAATAGGAATAATAAATGCTGTACGAGTAGTGTTCATAATTAGTCCGTGTTAGTAAATACATTAACTAATAAAATCTTATTGTTATGCAAAAAATCCAAAGTCATGCAATTTTAAGTTATAGTAAAATTAACAAATAGATGAAATTAAATGAACAATAATTTAAATAAAATGAAATTTTATTTTATAAATAAATAAAATAAATAAATGTTTTAAATTAAAATAAAATAAATAAACAAAATTAATTTAAATTAAATTTAAATTCAATTAAAATGAATTAAGTAAAATAAAAAAAAATAAAAAATAAATGACCGTAAATTAAAAATAAATTAAATTAAGTTAAATTAAATTAAGCAAACAAAATAAAATACAATTTGAAATGCAATTAAAACTGAATTAAGTAAAATAAAATAAAAAAATTTAATTAAATTAAAAATCTATTAAATTAAAATTTAATTAAATTTTAATTAAATTAAATAAAAATGAGCAAACTAAATAAAATACAATTTTAAATTTAAATAATTAAACAAAATAAAATAAAGTTTAAATTAAATGAAAATTAAATTAAGTAAAATAAAATAAAATAAAAATAAATAAATAAAAAAATCTATTAAATAAAATTTAATTAAATTTAAATCAAAACAAACAAAATACTTTTTTAAATTAAATGTAATTAAAACAAGAAAATAAGAAAACTGTAATTTAATTAAAATAAAATTAAATAATTCTCAGATATCAACAAATCACCATTGAACCAAATAGTACATTGAGAGCAAATGTCCTGAACTCAACTCAGACATGAACGCGCTGAGAATCTGCAACTCCTGCTGAACTTTTAAAAGTGTCAGATCTGATCTGAGAACAGTCTGACCGCCACTGAGCGTTTCTCTCCCACAAGCCCTTTTCATCAGTGTCTCTCATATTTAGACTGCTATCAGATGCTGACATTTAGATGAATGCTGAGCCTCAGGAGTGAATCTAACCTTTTTGCCCTCAGACAGACAAGCACGAACCCGAGTGTGAGTGTGAGTGTGTGTGTCAGATCTCTCACAGATCGTCCTGATATCACACTTCCCCTGAATCCACCAGTTCTGCAGCCAATCAGAGAGCAAGTGAATTTGGCAAGACTCTACTGTTGAAAAATTCCAAAGCCTATTCCAAAGAATATGTTTCAAAGTAAGATTTGCCACCAAAAATCATTCCATTTGCTGTAACACAGAGAAAGTTGTGACCAAATTAAGCTCAAAATCAGCCCAGAGTGGATGAAAACGACCCGACAGCACATAAATGTACCTGAAGCCGACGATGGGGAACTCTTTGCAGATGTTGCACTTGGCCTGATGTTTCGCCGTCTCTGCCGCAGCAACTCGGTGTAGAACCGGCAGCCAAACCATAGACTGCGGCTCCAGCCTCATCCAATCAATAAACTGCCTCGGCTCCAGCTCAACCTTATTGGTCACCTGAGGAAAAACAGACGAAAAACAGCAGCCAATCAGAGAGCGATTCCTGGAAGCCCATAAACAGCAGGAGAGAATGACTCGTAAACAATGCAGGCCCTCTGAAATCAAGAATATTTTGCTCGCAGACCATCATAAATGACTGTCACTCGCACGGCTGCTTTTATAGAGATATAACAGCCTCATAAATATTCCCGGCGTTCAGAGAATTCAGTGATGCCGGCTGCAGTCGCTGGGTTATTTTAACATGCACAATGCCGGGAATGTTAGCTAATGGGAATGAATATTTCACTGTGTCATCATGAAGCATAAAGGTTCAATACAGGTTCACGCTCCTCACAAAAAACAAATGTGTGTGTGTATGTTAATGAAGCCATTGAGGAAAGAGATTCTGAAAGGAGTTGATAAAGACACACAACATAAGTACACAAACAGAAGTTTACATAAAGCTGAAGTCAAAATAGCCCCCTGTGATTTTTTTTTTTTTTTTTTTTTTCAAATATTTCCCATATGATGTTTAACAGATTCAGGAATTTTTTCACAGTATTTCCTGTAATATTTTTTCTTCTGGAAAAAGTCTTATTTGTTTCATTTCGGCTAGGATGAAAGCAGTTTTTAATTTTTTTAAGCCATTTTAAAGTGAATATTATCAGCCCACTTAAGCAGTGCTTGTTTTGGATTGGCTACAGAACAAACCACTGTCAGGGTGCTTTCACACCTAGACTTTTGTAACGGAACCGGTCTCGTTTACTCAGTTAGCATGGTTCGTTTGGCATGTGTAAAACGAGAATCCAGCAATCACAACCGGATCCGCGCCAAAACAATCGCTCAGAGATCGCCTAAACGAGGTGGTCTCGGCTAGATCGAAACAAACTCAGGAGCGGATCAATTCTAGTGAGAAAGCAATACTATCTGAGCCTGGCTATATTACAGTGTCTTATGGATATGTAATGGAGTCTGCTGCAAATGCACAGGAACTCCCGAATGCCCGCAAACGAGTGATAATCTCCCGGAAATCGCGCGTCTTCCTCTCGTTCCTCAAATATGTCATGCACCTTTCTCACCCTTCCACCACCGCATCCCTCTTCGCTCTTCAGACACGTCGCACACACCCTGTCAAACCCCACCAAACCACCACCCCTCGAGCTGAGCGAGACTCTGCAAAATAAATCCTGAAACTCTGACCACTGTGAGGAGAGTTTACTCACACGTGACTTGTTTTAGCTATTTTGGTCCAATTTGAAACTTTGCCGTTTGAAAGCGACCGCTCCAAGAACAAAGAGCAACAATATAACAACTTTAATCCTTGTTTCGGAACAAATGAATCGGTTCACAGGTGTGAACGCACCCTTAGACTTGCCTTTAATGTCATTTTAAGCTAAATGCAGTCACCTGCAATCCAGCCTGTGCAGATCAATGTTATACACACAGATCACTAACGAACTCCACCCTTTCAGAACTACAAGTGCCAGTCATGCACCACACACACTCACCGGTTCCTAATCCCGTTTGATTACACTCACTCAGCTGAAGCAGCTCAAAGACTGATTAGTTGGACTATTTATCCAGCACACACACACACACACATCTATGCTGAGTCTTGTTATACTGTTTGTGAACAGTACGATGCGTTTTCCTTGCCTTCAGTGTTTGAACCTTGCTTTGTTTTGTTTTACATAGTCTGCTGCCTGCCCCTTGACCATCTGCCTGTTATATGACTCCCACTCAAGATTTGCCATCTGATTTTCCCTGTGTTGACCATTGCTTGCCTGTATATACCTGTTCATAAACCTACATTTGGATTAGCACCTCCGTTGTGTGGAGTTTGCCTGTTCCCCCATGATCCGCATGGGTTTCCTCCGGGTGCTCCGGTTTCCCCACAATTCAAAGACATGCGGTACAGGTGAATTGGGTAGGCTAAATTGTCCGTAGTGTATGAGTGTGAATGAGTGTTTATGGATGTTTCCCAGAGATGGGTTGCAGCTGGAAGGGCATCCGCTGTGTAAAAACATGTGCTGGATAAGTTGACGGTTCATTCCACTGTGGCGACCCCGCATTAATAAAGGGACTAAGCTGAAAATAAAATGAATGAATCATTGATTCCCAGAGATGGGTTGCGGCTGGAAGGGCATCCGCTGCGTAAAAACTTGCTGGATAAGTTGGCGGTTCATTCCGCTGTGGCGACCCCGGATTAATAAAGGGACTAAGCCGACAAGAAAATGAATGAATGAATCATTGAAGTATGAAAACACAATCATTAAGCACATTATATATGAGCTTTTAAGTCAAGAATAGAGCAGCTGTAGATATATTTATAAATGGCTATTAATGTAGAGTAAATGCTTAACAAATAATGAATAACGGTTTGCTAACGCTTAACAAAGGATCTATAGTGTGTAATTATAAATGTTACCCTAACTTTTGATGCACATTTTTTGATTGAACTGACACATTCAGCAAGTCTGTTGTTCATGTTAAATGAAATAAAAATAAATAAATACCATTCATCTTTATTTCTCAGGCGCTTTTACAGTGTAGATTGTGTCAAAGCAGCTTAGCATAGAAGTTCTAGTAAACTGAAACGGTGTCAGTCCAGTTTTCAGAGTTGAAGTTCACTTCAGTTCAGTGTGGTTTGATTTTCACTACTAATATCCACTTGTTTTGTGGCTGAACTTCTCAAACAGCTTGTATTTCAAGGTTTATCCTTTCTGTGTTTTCCATAATAAAGTGAGCAGATCCTGTTTGTACGCACTAAGGAATGAGCTGAAAATATTCCCTGCGCTATTGTCAGACCGCCACAGATGCGGCCCATGGGTCTCGTTTTGACCCTGGAACATTCCTGTAATTCTCATATTTCATTTGCACAAAACAAACAAGACAATGGCAAATAAACCATCAAATAAGACAGTGATTAAAGGATTTTGGCAGGCATTCCTGTGTAGTACGGCAGCAGCAAACTTGGCAAGGAAGTCAGTGGTGAAACACACTGATGGAAGAGTCATTAAATGTCACTTAGCATTGAGAAACACACACACATGGTTTGAGAGGACTCTTCATTGGCGTGATGGAGTTTATACTGGAAAAAGCACTTATTATATTCAGTTGAAGTCTGAATTATTAGCCCTCATATTTTCCCCCAATTTCAGTTTAGCGGAGAGAAGATTTTAATAGTTTTAATAACTCATTTCTAATAGCTGATCTATTTTCTCATTGCCATGATGACAGTAAATAATATTAGACTAGATATTCTACAAGACAATTCTATACAGCTTAAAGTGACATTTAAAGGCTTCACTAGGTTAATTAGGGTAAAGTTAGGGTAATTAGGCAAGTCATTGTATAACAGTGGTTTGTTCTGGAGACAATCCTAAACAAACATAGCTTAACGGAGCTCATAATATTGGTAATAAAACAATTAAAAACTGAAAACTGAAAAAAAGACTGTCAACCTAGGAGCCACCGCACCAAAGGCACAGTGTGACAAGTTCTTGGCCAGAAGACCTCAATAACTGGCCAGAGGACTGTGCATGTCAACGTTTTTGGATATAAAGAGGGAGCCTGACCATTCGGAGCTCTATGTGTACAGGTCCTCGTGAAGCCTGCAGGTTGGTGGTTGAACGTTGGACTAACAACCCACTTAATAGAAATTAGATGTTAGGAAACACCAGCATGGTGCGGCTAAATACATTTATATTTACATTTAGCAGACATTTTTATTCAAAGCAACTTACAAATGAGGACAAATGAGGAGTGGAGACTAAATAGTTGAGTTATTAGTGGTTTCTTGAAGACAGCGAGTGACTCTGCTGTTCTGATGCAGTTAGGGAGTTCATTCCACCAACTGGGCAGATTGAACGCGAGAGTTCGGGAAAGTGATTTCTTCCCTCTTTGGGTTGGAACCACGAGGCGACGTTCAGTCACAGAACGCAAGTTTCTGGAGGGCTCATAAATCTGCAGAAGTGAGAGCAGATAAGAAGGAACAAATCCAGAAGTCGCTTTGTAAGCAAACATCAGAGCTTTGAATTTGATGCGAGCAGCAACTGGCAGCCAGAGCAAACGGATGAGCAGCGGAGTGACGTGTGCTCTTTTAGGTTCATTAAAGACCACTCGTGCTGCTGCGTTCTGAAGCAGCTGAAGAGGTTTGATAGAGTTAGCTGGAAGCCCGGCTAGTATTAACTTCGATGTAAGCATCCCCTGAGAGTAAAGCCTCCTTTCCACTGCACACGACAAGCGACAGACCGGAAGTCATTCATTTCCAATGGAGAGTAGTGCGGAAGCTGAGTTCCAATTATCTCCGTATGCGGAAAATTCAGATCCAAATTGAGCTGCGGATCCGCTGAAATATTTTAACTTCTTCGACTAGACCGTACGCGACCGCCCGACCGGATGTGATGTATTTCACTGTTGTACAAGCAGGTCTGTGTGCACGAGATGAGAAATACTAGGTTTAGTTTTTTTTTTGTTATTTTTTGAACTAGAAAATGTCTACATTAACAATAAAACATTTATATTCATAAATGTAAGCAATAAAGTCATACAAATATAATTTTTTATATCGTTTCCACATTCCCTCCTCTATTTTTAATGGTCTAAAAACAAGAATTTACAAGACCAGAGTGGCAGAACCCTGACAGTTTGTAGTCACCATAACAACTTGCATGTCCTGCAGAGACGGGAAATACGCAAAATTAGAAAAATACTCATCAATTATGCCCTGAAATCAAACTTTACGTTTTTTTTCTAAGCGAGAACATAGTTCTTTTAAAGTCAAATCGGCAGTTTATGTATAAGAGCTGCGCGTTTTTAAATATTTCGGACTCTGAGCTCCAGGCGGTCAGCAGCAGCTCTGAGAACAGCGCACTGCCGACAGAAGCTTTATATCGGCCAGACCATCTCAGGAACTCCTGCTGGATCTCATATCTTGCATCTCTACTGTTAAAACGTGATATATAATTAATCTTGTGTTAACCCTTAATAAATTGCATTACCACACACCTACCCTTAAACCCAATCCTCAACCCAGTGGCAAAGTCTGAATGCCAGAAGAATGAATTACAAGAACTCAAAGCATATCCTCGTAAACCACCTCTGTTTACAAACTCTGTTTACTTAAGCGAAATCCCAGCAAACGTTAATCACGTAAACAAAATCCCATGAGCGTGTATTTTACTAGGTTCCACCTAAAGACTATAAATAGACTTTGGTTGCGTCTTTGTTGTACTGTGTGACGGTAGACGAAGAGATTTAAGCAGATTCAAAACAGAAACAAAATCTTTTCCTTGGGGAGGTCAGTTCAATTGCATTCTTAAGACCTCTGAAACACATTTTAAGACTAATCAAGACTTTATTTGTATACAAAGGGATTTTTTATGACTTTTTTAATGATCCGCAGACACCCTGCTGTCCTTTCTGTCTTCCCTCCACTCCTCATTCGTTTATTTCCTCTGTCAGTTTTGATCTTTGTGCTGTGTGGTCCTCCTTCAAAAGCCTCAGTGATCAGTTATTTGCTGTACTCTTCAGCTGTCTGTCTGTCTGTCTGTCTGTCTGTCAGCTGTGACTGAATCTCTCCTCTTCATTTATAATAACAGATTCTCTCTCTTCAATAGCCTCTGCTGAGTGTCAGAGAGCAATCAAAGCAGTCAGAGGAGAGACAGACAGGACTGACAGATGCAGAGGCAGATAGGACTGACAGATGGGCAGAACAGACAGATTGATAGAATGATGACGGGAATAAAATATAGACAGAATGACGGAATGACAAACACATATACAGAAAAAACACATCATGACAAACAGATGGAATGGATAAAAAAGACAGACAGACTAGACGGACGGACAGACAGACAGACGGACGGACGGACAAACGGGCGGACGGACGGACGGACGGACGGACGGACGGACGGACGGACAGACAGACAGACAGACAGACAGACAGATAGATAGATAGATAGATAGATAGAATCTATAAAAATAAACGAAAACTTTCTCTCTCTCTCTCTCTCTCTCTCTCTCTCTCTCTCTCTCTCTCTCTCTCTCTCTGTCTCTCTCTCTCTCTCTCTGGTTAACATGTGTATTTATAGTCTTCCAGTCTAACAGATGCAGGATTTACTCCAGTGAAATAACTGGAGGACAAAAATATGAAGACCCAGTCTGACAACACCATTAACACACACACACACACACAAACACACACACACACACACACACTGATCCCGCATGAGGGAATATGAGGATATCATGAGCAGACGGCATCAATGATTCACACAGCTCCATAACTCAACAAGACATCACTCATACAAGCAGACATAGAGTACCATACTGAAACACACATCACTGTCTGTCTGTGTGTGCGTGTGTGTGTCTGAGTGAGAGATATTATAATATAATATAATATAATATAATATAATATAATACAATATAATATAATATAATATAATATAATATAATATAATATAATATAATATAATATAATATAATATAATATAATATAATATAATGTAATATAATGTAATGTAATTTAATGTGTGTTTATATAGCGCATTTATTGTGTATGGCCATACACCCAAAGCGCTTCACAATCATGAGGGGGGGTCTCTCCACACCACCACCAGTGTGCAGCATCCACTTGGATGATGTGATGGCAGCCACAGGACAACGGCGCCAGTGCTTCACCACACACCAGCTATTGGTGGAGTAGAGGGACAGTGATAGAGCCAATTCGGTAGAGAGGGGATGATTGGGAGGCCATGATGTTAAGGGCCGATAGAGGGACTTTGGCCAGGACACCGGGGTTACACCCCTGCTCTTTCACGAGAAGTGCCTTGGGATTTTTAATGACCACAGAGAGTCATGACCTCGGTTTAACGTCTCATCCGAAAGACGGATAATATAATATAATAAATATAATATAATATAATTAATATGATTAATATAATATAATATAATAAATATAATACAATATAATATAATATAATATAATATAATAAAATATAATATAATAAATATAATATGACATATTATAATATAATATATTATAATATAATATAATATAATATAATAAATAAAATAAAATATAATATGGTATAATATAATATAATATAATATAATATAATATAATATAATTAATATAATATAATATAATATAATATAATATAATATAATATAATATAATAAAATATAATATAATATAACACTTAATATAATATAATATAATATAATATAATATAATAATATAATAAATATAATATAATATGATATGATATAATATAATATAATAATATAATATAATATAATATAATATAATATAATATAATATAATATAAT